GAAAGAAAGAAAGAAAGAAAGAAAGAAAGAAAGAAAGAAAGAAAGAAGGAAAGAAAGAAAATGAAAGACCGGACTGTGGTAAACACACCTAGCAGGGCAAAGTTCACAGCATGTGTTTCTGGAAAATTTATTTATTACCAACTATAGAAAATAAAGTGGTTCACCTAAGATCATTCAATAGGGAAGGTGAAAAATACCCAATGTATAGGTAAAGCAAAATGCCAAATCTCCTCTTTAAGTCTATTAAGTCCCCAATAGACCTCAGATATATATTAGTATAAATAGTGGTTTATTTGGATATTAGAACAGAATAAAAATATTCAAATAATTTGGTGTCAGTGCTTTCTCTTTAAGAGTCTTGTCACCTATAGATAATAGAGTCTTTGAGAAAAAGTAGACACGAAGAAATACATAGATGACTAGATTGATAAATAGATGGTAGGCTGATAGTTGATAGATAGATGACAGACAAAAAGATAGATGGAGTCATAATAAACTACAGCCTATTATCTTTTAAATCCTTAAATGGTAGCTATCATCTCTCCCACATTTCCTTGGTGCTCATCGTGTTCATATAATTTAAACATTATTCCTAAAGTCTTAGCCAATTCTTTATTCCCAAAGGCCTTTCTCTTCACCTGACTCATTCTGGCTTTGGTTTATAATCTCCCTGAGTTTATTCAGTTTCAGGGAACATCACAGTGTGACTGTTTCTACAACCCTCTTGTCCTTGATTATATCTTAACTATTTTTATTGAAATCCTAAAATTGAGGAAATTCAAACCCACCTTCCATATGAAACAGTAGAAAATGGTGGGAATCAAGGAGACAAAGAGAAAACAGGGGCCTAAAAACAACAGTTCAAACACATCCCACAAATTAGTAAGGACTCTTATTCTTACCCCTGAAACAGGGATAAGAGAAACAGGGATGTTTGTTTCTCTTACCCATTTTCCTCACGTGGAAAAATATGCATGCTGTCATCTCACAAAATTTTCTCTCTTCTTTTCTCATCTGTGGACATCATCCCCTCCATCTCATAAAAACCCCTCACCCTTTAACCTTACTGTAATACAGACAACAGGGAACTGTGTTCTATTTATGTCACAGACTATTTTCTCACTTCATATCTTACTATTGAGCCATCTCAACCCTACCAGAGAAGCAGTCACTTGAAAACAAGCACGGGAGATGGAGAGAGAGTCCAGTGGTTAACAGTGCTCTGCTCCTACTGAGGACTAGAGTTCGAATCCCAACACCATAACAGCTCATAACTCCAGCCCCAGTGGATCTGAAAACCTCCCCCAACCTCCACTGACTAGAGCATGCATATACACATTCTCACACAGATACACACAATACATAGAACTGCAAACCACACATGTAAAAACAAAATCATGTGTTTCCTTCCACAGTATGCTTGCTAACTGGAGAACAATAGGGGAAGCATCACCTACGGCCATGGCAAGAAGACACAAAATTCATGAAACAGTCCATCTAAAGAATTGCAAAACTGTCTGACAAATAAGATATATTTTCTCCAAAAGAAAATGCTTTTTTAAATTATTAGAAGTATATATTAATCTTACAGAATGGGTATTTTCATAACACTTTCCTACATAATAAATGTGACTATAAAGGCCATATTTAGAGTTATTTGAATTGTGTTTGTGTGTGTGTGTAGTCTACAGTGAGTGTGCATATGTCAAAGTGAATGAAGAGGCCAACGGTTACATCAGGATATCTTTCCTTGGTCATTTCTCTACTTTTTAAATTTGAGATATGGTTTGTCATAGAACCCGAAGCTTCCTATTTCAGGCAAAGTGCCTGGTATTATATCTGAAATAATCCAGTGTCAATTCCATTCCACTTGGATTATAGACATGTTGGGTGCATCTGGCATTTTTGTCGTTTCTGGGGATCCAAACTCAGGATCATGTGCTTATACATCAGTACTTCTCCCACTGAACTATATGCCCCGTTTTCAACTATTTTTTAAAGAACAGTTTCTATATACCTTTATTCAGAAAGTCAAAGGAGATACTCATTAAGAATCTGCCATAATCCATTTTCTCTAGTAGGTTCAGTTATTATTTTCTAATAGTTTATTAACTTTACTATCACTAAGCCAATTCTCATTAATATTTTAATGGTACAGTTAAAAAGGGAAATAACGAAGGCAAAAAAGATTTCAAAACACAACCTTAGCTGGTCGCCTGTCAGGCCCAGGTGTCTCATCCTAGATTTTGCCCCTGTAGATGTCTAACTAGGTGATGCAACCATACAAATGAGCAGAGTATAGAGAGCTATGCAAGTAGCCAAGCTTGAATACTGCAGTCTCATGTGAGAGGCAGTAAATGAGATAGACAGAATTGAGTAGTTACTACAGTTGATACTCTTTAAGTATGGGAGGTCAAGAATGCCAGGAATCTACTTCCTCCTCACTTCATGCCTAAGCCATAGTCCAGGCTTGAGCATCCCTGAACCCATGGAGGAAAGCTGGTGAGGAAGGTCACCACCAGTCACAGGACAATGTGGGTGTCAGGAGGCAGGGCCACCCATATCCACATGCTGTCTCACAGGCCAGGGCAGAGCCCGGGATCAGAATAAAAGGGCTGAGGGACAATACACCTCCATCCAGCCCTCCTGAGGTGCCCACAGATCCTGTACTGCCTGTCATCTTGGTAAGTGTCCGTTGGGGGCCAGAGTATAGTTTGCACCAGAGGGAAGCTGAGGGGAGAGCTGGAAAGGAGGCTAGGCAGGGCCACAGAGCCTGACGCTATTCTTAAAGTGCACATAGGGTATGCGAGAATGATGTTAGAAAAAGGGACATATTCATGTTCATGGGAGGCATGAGTAGACAGGATCCATATAACAAACGTGCTGCAGAGAATAAGCTTCTCTTTAGAATAAATCTGACCCTGAAGCACAGATTATGCACCTTAAACGAACTTCAAAGGGTTGCTCTGAAATTCAGCCTTGGCCTAGCATTCAAAGGAAGAGACAGAGGCAGAATTGCATAGCAGATGCTCCTTTAAACTTGAAAAACCCAAAGAGTTAAAGGTCTTGGATTGTTCACACACTTCCAAGAATGACAGGACTACTACCAGCCCCACCCTGGTGGTGCCATCTTGTTGGCCTAAGCAGGTGGTGAACTGAACATATGTGAAAGCTTGTAAGAGAGCAGGACATGGATTCATGGTCCTAGTCTACAAGCAGTGATGGGATTTTTCAGACTTTTTATTGAGGGAATCAGTTTACTAATCCAGTAGTAACCTGTATTTTTTCCAGTAGTAACTTATATAGTAAAATCATCTTGAACGTTATGAGAATGATTATTCTATGTTTTAAAACCCATTTTTATTTCCGGAAGTGATGAATTAATCAGGTGATTTCAGTCTGAAGACATATTGAGAATGGTTTTCTAAGTTTGTGATTCAGAGCCTCTCAAGATGCCATGAGCTTGTCATTCTCTGCTGGACAGCATGTGCCAGTTTTTACCTGACTTACATGGGTTTCTAATGATCCCAAGAGATGATGATGAGGACGTGAAAGGATGAGTATATTTAGTACTGAAACGCCTAAACAAGATGTTTCTATGATTACCATGGATGATAAGCATGCAGGGTGGGGCGACTGCAGTCTTGGTTCTGACTTTTCTTTGACTTGTTCACAGATCCTGATCACTTACCAGCTGAGATGTCCTGCCAACAGAGCCAGCAGCAATGCCAGCCCCCTCCCAAGTGTACCCCCAAGTGTCCTCCCAAGTGCCAGACCCCAAAGTGCCCTCCAAAATGTCCTCCTAAGTGCCCTCCCAAGTGCCCGCCTGTCTCTTCCTGCTGTAGCCTGGGTTCTGGGGGCTGCTGCGGTTCCAGCTCTGGGGGCTGCTGCGGCTCCAGCTCTGGGGGCTGCTGCAGCTCTGGGGGTGGTGGCTGCTGCCTGAGCCACCACAGGCCCCGCAGATCTCTGCGTCGCCATCGTCACAGCTCTGGATGCTCTAGCAGTGGGGGCAGCAGCAGCTGCTGTAGCAGCAGCGGTGGCAGCAGTGGTTGCTGTGGCAGCAGCGGTGGCAGCAGTGGTTGCTGTGGTAGCAGTGGGGGCAGCAGTAGCTGCTGTGGTAGCAGTGGGGGCAGTGGCCAACAGTCTGGAGGCTGCTGCTGAAGATCTCAAACAAGCTGTAGAAGAAGAAGCCATGTTTAGAAGACCAGTCCATGCTTGTTACTCTCACCTCCTTCTCTCCTCCATGTCCTTGCCTATAAGATGCTGTGTCAAGTTCTGAATTTGTCCTAATGACCTAACGTCTTCTTCAGTAGTTTTTGTTAATAAAGTCTTCTTTACTGAATCTACCAAAACTCTTGTTTATATTGGCCAGAATCACCATCACACATTAGGGTTTTTTAATTTTATTTTATTAATTATACTTTATTCACTTTGTATCCCCCCATAAGCCCCTCCCTCTTCCCCTGCCAGTCCCACCCTCCCTTCCCCTTCTTCAGAATGCCCCTCTCCAAGTCCACAGATAAGGAAAGTCCTCCTCTCCTTCCTTCTGATCTTAGTCTATCAGATCACATCAGGAGTGGCTGCTTTGTCATCTTCTGTGGCCTGGTAAGGCTGCTCCCCCCTCAGGGGGAGGTGATCAAAGAGCAGGCCAATCAGATTATGTCAGAGGCAGTCCCTCTTCCCATTACTATGTAACCCACTTTGACACTAAACTGCCATGGGCTACATCTGTGCAGGGGTTCTAGGTTATCTCCATGCCTGGTACTTGGTTGGAGTATGAGTCTGTGGAAAGACCCCTGTGTTCAAATTTTCTGGTTCTGTTGTTCTCTTTGTGGGGTTCCTGTCCTCTCTAGATCTTACTATTTCCCACTTCTTACATAAGATTCCATGCATTCTGCCCAACAGTTTGCCATAAGTCTCAGCATCTGCTTTGATAGTCTGCAGGGCAGAGCCTTTCAGAGACCCTCTGTGGCAGGTTTCTAGGTTATTTCCAGTTTTCTTATTCTTCTTCTGATGACCATCCTCTTTGCTTTTCAGGATGGGGATTGAGTATTTTAGCCAGAGTCCTTCCTCTTGATTAGTTTCTTTAAGTGTACAGATTTTAGTAGGCTTATCCTATGTTATATGTCTATATGAGTGAGTATATACTGTGTGTGTCTTTCTGCTTCTGGGACAGCTCACTCAGGATGATCCTTTCCAGGTCCCACCATTTACCTGCAAATTTCATGATTTCCTTACTTTTCCTTGCAGAATAATACTCCATTGTGTAGATGTACCACAATTTCTGCATCCATTCTTCAGTTGAGGGGCATCTGGACCTACAGATTGAGAAAGAATCTTCACCAACCTTCTATCTGACAGAGGGCTAATATCCAGTACATATAAAGAGCTAAAGAAGCTGAAAAGCAGCAAACCAACTAATCAAATTAAAAAATGAGGAACAGAGCTAAACAGAGAACTCTCTGTAGAAGAATATCGAATGGCAGAGAAATACTTAAAAAATGCTCACCTCATTAACCATTAGGGAAATGCAAATCAAAATGACCCTGAGATTTCACCTTACACCCATCAGAATGGCCAAGATCAAAAACTCAAGTGAGAACACATGCTGGAGAGGTTGTGGAGAAAGGGGAACCCTCCTCCACTGCTGGTGGGAATGTAAACTGGTACAACCACTCTGGAAATCAATCTGGCGCTTTCTCAGACAACTAGGAATAGCGCTTCCTCAAGATCCAGCCATACCACTCCTAGGCATATATCCAAAAGAGGCTCAAGTATGCAATAAGGAATTTTGCTCACATTAGTTTTAAACATCTGGGGCTCAGTGCTGCCTTGAATTGAACAGAAGCTTGTTTCAGTACGATGAGTCGTGTGATCAGTAATATGAGCCAGTCCCTAGAGTACAGGCACTAAAGGGTGTGTCATCCTTTACTGTGCACAGAGGAAACCAATCCAACAATCATATTCAGTTTAGGCTACTTTTCTTTTCTCTTCTTTTCTTTTGCCTCCTTATGTGTTTTCTCCAGTATCCTTAATTATCTTCTATATTTAAAAAGTTACTGTAGTAGTATTCTCACATCTCTTAGGAAGTAGAAACTCATCAATATGAGGTGTTCTTCACTCTCATGAAATTTAGACAAGCCAAGAGTTCATTACACAATAAAGAAAGGACCTAAATATAAGAATGAAGACAAAAATGACTACTAGAAAGAAGAACCCATAATGAAAAAAACCTTTGAAATACTGGAGTTTTCAGCAACTTCTGTGAAATGATTCCATTGTAATAAAAATAAAAGTAGATTTTATGAACTATTTTAATGCTAAAATCTTCTCTGCATGACTGAAAACAACCTACAGGGCGAAATGACAGTCTTTGGTAAAAGCATATGTGTCAATCATCTCTGACATTGAGAGATTATACAGAGTCTGTAATAAACTCCTTCAATTTGTAATATAAATGAAAAGCCTGATTTAAATCTTAGAAAAGACTCAAGTACACGTTTATTAAAAAAAAAACATGCAAAACAATCCATAGACAGGGGTTAAGTTGCTCACTAAGACAAATAAAACCCGTAATGAGATATAACCTCAGAGCCAAGAGGGTGGCCACAGTGAACACAGCACAGAGTGACCACTCATGGAGCGTATGTAGAGGAATCAGTACCTCTGTGCACTGTTTGGAACACAAGAAACTATGAAAAATACTTTTCTTCAAAATTTAAGAGGATTAACTACATTTCGTAACTCCACTGTATTACCATACATTTATCTGTCTCTCATTTATCTATGTATCTGTCTGCATGTATACGTATATATGTATCTCTGCATATATATCTAACATGTTTTGAAAATGGGGACTTGAAGATCTCTTTGCTCTCTCCACACTTGATTCCCACCCCCTCTCCCACCAAGTTCTTTCTCTCTCTCTACTTCAGAGGTCTATTTTATTTCCTCTTCTGAGTGAGATTCAAACATCCTCCCTTGGGCCCTCTTTGGCTTCTTTGGGTCTATGGATTATAGCATGGCTATCCTGTATTTTATGACTAATATCCACTTATAAGTAGTAAGGGGAGAGGTTGCTGTCTCTGACATAGACTCTGTTGCCTGCTTTTTGTTCATTTTCTCCTGGCCTTGCCAAGCCACCTGGGAAGAGGATGTGTTCATTCCTGAATCTACTTGATGTGCTGGGGTGGATTGGGGGAGATCTCCTCTTTTCTGAGGTGTAGGGGAGGGGGATAGGTGGAAGAGAAAGGGAGGATGAGACTGGGAGGAGAGGAGGGAACAGGACTATGATTGGGATGGAAAGTGGATAAATAAATTAATTAAAAAACTCTAAAAATAAAGCAAGTGAATAATACATATGATGTGTATATTTCTGGGTCTGAGTTACCTCACTCAGGATGATGTTTTCTAGTTCCATCCATTTGCCTGAAAATTGCATGACTTTAATAAAGAAAAATCCTTTAAATAAAACATCTCAAAAGACTGTATTTTATTGAATTTTAGAATTAAAACTTTGTAAGTTATTAAATTGTATGTGATGTTTTACCAATTATTCTAGAAACATAATAACTGTACCAACTAAAGTATTAAAACTTTAGCCGATTTAATGTGTCTGGTTTTATGTTGAGGTCTTTGATCCACTTGGACTTCAGTTTTGTGCAGGGTGATGAGTATGGATCCATTTTCACTTTTCTACATGTAAACAACCAGTTGGACCAGCACCATTTGTTGAAGATGCTATCTTTTTTCCATTGTATGGTTTTGTCATCTTTGTCAAAAATCAGGTGTCCATAAGTGTGTGGGTTTATTTCTGGGTCTTCTGTTCAACATAAAACCAGACACATTAAATCGGCTAGAAAAAAAAGTGGGGAATACCCTAGAACTCATTGGTACAGGAGAAAACTTCCTGAACAGAACACCAACAGCACAGGCTCTAAGAGCAACAATCAATAAATGGGACCTCATGAAACTGAAAAGCTTCTGTAAAGCAAAGGACACCGTCATCAAAACAAAGCGACTGCCTACAGATTGGGAAAGAATCTTCACCAACCCTTTATTGACAGAGGACTCATATCCAGTATATATAAAGAACTAAAGAAGCTGAAAAGCAGCAAACCAAGTAATCCACTTAAAAAATGGGGAACAGAGCTAAAGAGAGAATTCTCTGTAGAAGAATATCGAATGGCAGAGAAGCACTTAAAGAAATGCTCAACCTCATTAGCCATTAGGAAAATGCAAATCAAAACAACCCTGAGATTTCACCTTACACCCATCAGAATGGCCAAGATCAAAAACTCAAGTGACAACACATGCTGGAGAGGTTGTGGAGAAAGGAGAACCCTTCTCCACTGCTGGTGGGAATGTAAACTTGTACAACCACTCTGGAAATCAATCTGGCGCTTTCTCAGACAACTAGGAATAACGCTTCCTCAAGATCCAGCCATACCACTCCTAGGCATATACCCAAAACAGGCTCAAGTACACAAAAAGGACATTTGCTCAACCATGTTTGTAACAGCTTTATTTGTAATAGCCAGAAACTGGAAACAGCCCAGATGCCCCTCAACTGAAGAATGGATGCAGAAACTGTGGTACGTCTATACAATGGAGTATTACTCAGCAATGAAAAATAAGGAAATCATGAAATTTGCAGGTAAATGGTGGGACCTGGAAAGGATCATCCTGAGTGAGTTGTCCCAGAAGCAAAAAGACACACACGGTATATACTCACTCATATAAACATAGGACATAGAATAAACCCACTAAAATCTGTACATCTAAACAAACTAAGCAAAAGAGAGGACCCTAACTAAAAATGCTCAATCCCCATCCTGAAAGACAAAGAGGATGGACATCAGAAGAAAAAGAAAACAGGAAACAACCTAGGAACCTGCCACAGAGGGCCTCTGAAAGCCTCTGCCATGCAGACTGTCAAAGCAGATGCTGAGTCTGATGGCCAACTGACAGGCAGAGTGAATGGAATTTTATGTAAGAAGTGGGAAATAGTAAGAGCTGAAGAGGACAAGAACTCCAAAAGGAGAGCAACAGAACAAGAAAATTTGAACACAGGGAACTTCCCAGAGACTCATACTCCAACCAAGGACTATCCATGGAGATAACCTAGAACCCTGACAATGCAGCCACTTCTGATGAGAACT